TACCCAATAACAACTAACCATATTTTTTCAAGGTTTAATTACAGAGTGTTTTAGATACCCAATAACAAGTAACCACATTTTTTCAAGGTTTAATTACAAAGTGTTTTAGATACCCCCTGGTAATCACACTGTTAGTTATACCATAAACTGGTATCACATTGTTAATTGTACCGTGAACTAGTATGAGATTGTTAGCTATACCAAACACTGAATGGATAAGTGTTCTTTCTTGTTTATAAAGATACCTAAAGCTCCCACTTGCTGCGTATGGACAATCAAATATGTAAACAATCAAGGGACACTTTGCTATTAATTTATATAGATATAGTTGTTATTGGGTATCTAAAACACTCTGTAATTAAACCTCGACAAATATGGTTAGTTGTTATTGGGTATCTAAAACACTTTGTAATTAAACCTTGAAAAAATATGGTTACTTGTTATTGGGTATCTAAAACACTCTGTAATTAAACCTTTAAAACTTATGGTTAGTTGTTATTGGGTATCTAAAACACTTTGTAATTAAACCTCGAAAAATATGGTTAGTTGTTATTTTTATGGTATAACTAACAGTGTGATTACCAGTTTATGGTATAACTAACAGTGTCATATCATTCTGTGGTGTAACTAACAGTGCAAAAGCAGTTTATGATATAACTAACAGTGCAATTTCCCCGAAAGAGGGCCAAAGGCCGCCTGGAGGGGTCACCTGTTTAAACCATTTGCACCACTATAGTAGAGGGTTGTCTGTCAGTCAGTAGACACTAAAATGACGTCACATAAGAGATACTTAACGATGCAATTTGTACTGTCGTGACGTCAGTAAAACATACGCATGTCATAAATAATGAGGATAATTATGCACTTTGTAGGCTACAAACAGCATGACATATAAAAGTTCTGGTTTTATTTACTCTTGAAAAGGAACACTTTCGGGACCCTGCGAAAGTACGTCTAGTACAAGTTTTTGGTATAACTTATAATGTCACATCAGTCCATCATATAACTAACAGTTTCATACCAGTTTATGGTATAACTAGCTATGTCATATCAGTTTATGGTATTACTAACAATGTCACAGTGAAAGCAATGAAGATTTTGTAGGTTTTGAACCAAACTAAATAACAGTAAACTTTTTTCTGATTTACGGTATTTTCTTATTTCGAGCTCTTTTGTGTTTAGAACAATATATACTAACTTTTAAAGTATCAAACTGAATTTTTGTTCAATAAAGATCTTTCAAATGCGACTGTAGCTTTTTTTTGCCCCAAAACTTTGTCTTCAAAATAAGGGTGCGTCTTATATTCGGAAAAATACGGTAATTATGTGAGCTATGAAAATGAGGCCTAAAGAAACGTTGCAGGAAGGACAACACTAATAATGCAAATTATCGTGTGGGAAACTATAAAATGTATTTTGGACTTTCAGGTATTTCGCAAGTAGAACTATAAAGCGGTTGAGGTACATAGTCTCTCAGATTTAATTCAATTATTTTGCCTTATGTGTTATAAATAAGAAAAGAAAAATGACATGAGTACTAAAGCATACAATATCTATGTTACTTCTTATTGTGTGCAGCCACTTGAAAGATTGTTTGGTTGTAGTTAAGCGCAAAGCTACACGATGAGCTATCTGTGCTCTGCCCACCACGGGTATCGAAATCCGGTTTCTAGCATTGTATGTCCGCAGACATATCGCTGTGCCACTGTGTGGCATACGACTTGAAATTAAATCTAATAGATGATGTATCTATACTATTTTGTAGATCCAGCTTCCGCAGATACTCCAAAATTTAAGGTACTTCTTATGTAATTTCTAACTCTTTGTTGCTGTCTGTTTTGCCTTTCTTTTGGGCTTAATAGGCCTGATTTTCTTAGTTAACATAACTATTATCATCATAGGTTTGGAAGGGCTGTTCACACACTCTCCTTCCAGAAGTTAAACGTTAAATTTATTACGTTGCTTTGGTTTTCTCACTATTAATATATATACATGTATATAGAAAAGCGTGCTAATAAATAAATGATTTATAATAAAGTAACTTGGTCAAAATGTAGCCTATCCAATGCCCTAATCACGCTGCTATTGTCTCTAGGAGGATTTCTGTCGCAATGTTTATGAACCCACATGGTCCAATCAGTTCCGCTAAGTCCCATACAGTGGCATCTTCATCGCCCCCCTCCTCTTTTTTGCCCTACAGTAATTTAAATTATCTCTTTATTTAATCTTAATCGTGTTTTTCAGGCAATAACACGCCATCCCTTTCTTAACAAGCAAAATACTAGTCTTGCTAGCTGATTGGTTAAAAGGACGTCGGACTTTTGACGAGGGTCAGTTAACTGCATGTGAAACTACCTGGTTAACTCTGTACAAATACCAACAACACAAAAGGTTATCATCAAGGATCGGTAAACTAAGGTATAATTCTACGAGGTGGCAATGTCCGATAATAGTTTAAAGTCATATCAACTTGTTTCAATAATAATCGATATAGGTCATACCACAGTATGACTTAATATGTGATAGTCGGAAATGTCTAGTGTCTCTTATAGGTGACAAAAATTTAATTGTAAAACACATCCTTTTCTTTTAGTGCTTATTGTTGTATGTTTTCAAGCTGAAACTTTAAATATCAATAGGTTATGATAGGCGTTTCATGGAAAATAAGGAAGGCTATCGTGGTTACTCAATCCAATCAGTTAGTCCTATTATTGACGTATATTTGTTCTATGGCAAAAATAAATAAACAATAAGAAAATGAATTATCTCAAATGTAATTTCTTCTGTTGTATATGCAGCTGCTGTTTCTAATGGCTATAAAAACATATGTCAGTAAAACTGTGAAACAAAAAAACGTTAATTATATTCGTACAGATATGATTATCGCACCACCACCACCCCCAGTGGCACAGCGATATGTCTGCGAACTTACAACGCCAGAATCCGGGTTTCGATACCCATGGTGGGCAGAGCACAGATAGCCCAGTGTGTGTAGCTTTGTGTTTAATTACAAACAAACAATATGATTATTACGATTTTCAGGTTTGTTTTTTTTATCTTTGCAAAACTTGGAAAACATTTTGAGATTCGTTGAAACTTTCTTTAAAAATTTAAAGCTTTCTATATTAATGGAATATAAAATTTTATATCCTATATCAATACTGGTTTAGTTTTTGGCAGAGCTTGGAACAGTCAATTAATATATCACATATATCTTATATATCTTGCAATGATGCAAACAAACGAGAAGAAACGAAAGTATGAATATTTTATCATAGAAATAAACAACTACATCCTGAAAAACACAAAGAAAATTGAATTGAAAACAATTTTTAAAAACATAGTTTACAGCAAATTTAACCGCTCGTTGAAATGTATAAATCGAGAAAAACAAACAAGGAGGAATAGGATTTAAAAACAGGAGTACTATTACATCATTCCTTCATTGATGTGACGAGCTACCCTCGCCAATAATGCACAATATGCACAATTTTTAGATATTAAACAATGTGCATAATAAATAACAATATGCTAAAGTTGGTTGTACCGTCGAGCAAAGTACCAAACAGTTAACGTTTACATTTTGACTTCAGGAGAATCTGATTAAACATGTTCACTGTCTCTCAAGCCTGAATCCCACATCTTAGGACAAATGTGTTGTGGTCTACATGTTATTATATAGAACAGTTTTATAGTTGAAACGTATGTTTGTGGCAAAGAGAAATGCGGTGTTATTATTTTTTTAAGTTAGCTAAAATTATGAATTACATTACAAATGATATTGTAGTAAGTGCATAGTAGACTGTTTATTTTTC